TAGTACCCAGGAATTCCACAGGAGTTAGTACCCCAGAGTTCCACGAGAGTTAGTACCTCAGAGTTCCACGGGAGTTAGTGCCACAGAATTCCATGGGATTTAGTACCCCGGAGTTCCACGGGAGTCAGTACCCCCAGAATTCCATGGGAGTTAGTACCCCAGAGTTCCACGGGGGTTAGTACCCCCAGAGTTCCACGGGAGTTAGTGTCACGGAGTTCCATGGGATTTAGTACCCAGGAATTTCACAGGAGTTAGTACCCCAGAGTTCCACGAGAGTTAGTACCTCAGAGTTCCACGGGAGTTAGTGCCACAGAATTCCATGGGATTTGGTACCCAGGAGTTCCACAGGAGTCAGTACCCCCAGAGTTCCACGAGAGTTAGTACCTCAGAGTTCCACGGGAGTTAGTGCCACAGAATTCCGTGGGATTTAGTACCAAGGAGTTCCACGGGGGTTAGTACCCCCGGAGTTCCACGAGAGTTAGTACCTCAGAGTTCCACGGGAGTTAGTGCCACAGAATTCCGTGGGATTTAGTACCCCGGAGTTCCACGGGAGCTAGGACCCCCGGAGTTCCATGGGACATAGTATTCAGGCTGTTGTCTAAGGCTCAAGCTCATTCTGGACTAAACAAAATCCGCGCCCAGGTCCCCCTGAGAGTGTCAGTGTGGGGGAACAGTGCACACCCAGGGGACAGTGGCTTCCCGGTCACATCTGTGGGCCGAGGTCCGTGGACCCCAACAGCTCCCGGACCCAAGGGTACTATTGGAAGGTGGGTGTGCCGCAAACTCCGCCACCCTGGGGTGGGGGGCTCAGCGGGGTTCCCCTGGCAACGGGTGGTGGGCCATGTGACACTGTACCATGCCGGGTCCCCCGTACAAAATTCGTCCTCGTTTCACTTGGCACTGGGGATGCTCAGGGGGCTCAGAGCGCCTGCCAGGGACAGCACCCAGCGCTTTCCATAGGTCTCAGCATCGAAAGTGAAACGGTTCCTTCTTTGCGGCTTCTGTCATTACTCTCCCCTGCAATTTCCCCAAGGTTGCAGGCCCCGAGCCACGAAGATCCCATTAACATAAGTAGCGGTTGTGCTGCCGAGTTCCTTTGAAAAGGCTCCTGGAGGCCCCTCAAGTGCTGGGCGGGCAGCTGGGGGGGCCCACGCCAGGCTGCCAACCGGCAGGCAGACGCGCTCTGATGTGGCAGCAGCTTGGAGCTCCCGACGGGGCCGGGTCCTGGGCTGGCATCAACTCTCACCCGCCCATCCTTCCCCCGACCACCACCCAGCCCAGCGCCACGGGGCTCGGGCATCCGGGGCATATTTTAATCCGGGTGCGTGCCGATTCTCTGCCTAAAATATATTTCGGCCCTGCCTTTAAATTGCATCTGGCCGGGCCCTGGGGATTGGGACTTTCCCAGGCTCCCCCTGCGCCCTCCCCCTCCCGCCCCCCTGTAGACGTTGAGCAACAGCCAAAGAGAAAAGTTTGGAGCGGAGAGAATCCGGGCGGAGTAAGCTGCCTGGAAAGAGGCTGGTACCTTCTTCTTGGTACCGCCTGGTAGTGCCACACCGGGAGGGAATTTCACGCTAGACCCGGATGGAGTGACCTCTCTCTCTCTCTTTCTCTCTCTTCTTCTGTCTCCATTCCTCTCTCTCTCTGTCTGTCTCTCTCTCTCTCTCTCTCTGGCTTTCTGGGTCACATCCGGCGATGCTCAGGGGTTCCTCCTGGCTCTGCACTCAGGAATCACTCCTGGCGGTGCTCGGGGGACCCTATGGGATGCCGGGAATCGAACTCGGGTCAGTCGCGTGCAAGGCAAACGCCCTCCCCACTGTGCTATTGCTCTGGCCCGAGTCCCGGAGTTTTTTTTATCTTGTATTTATTTATTTTGCTTTTTGGGTCCCACCCGGCGATGCTCAGGGCTGACTCCCGGCTCTGCACTCAGGAATCACTCCTGGCGGTACTTGGGGGACCCTATGGGATGCCGGGGATCGAACCCAGGTTGGCTGCGTGCCAGGCAAACGCCCTCCCCACTGTGCTATTGCTCTGGTCCCAGTCCCGGAGTTTTTTTTTATCTTGTATTTATTTATTTTGCTTTTGGGATCACACCCGGCAGTGCTCAGGGATGATGTCTGGCTCTGCACTCAGGAATCACTCCTGGCGGTACTCGGGGGACCCTATGGGATGCCGGGAATCGAACCCGGGTTGGCTGCGTGCCAGGCAAACGCCCTCCCCGCTGTGCTATTGTTCCGGCCCCGTTCACAATCAGTTTAACTAGAGTTCCTTCCAGAAGGGCCCAGGGGGAAGGGCTGGTTTCTGCTCCTCAAGCCCACAGGGAACGTGACCCTGTAAAAGGCGTCTCTCCCTGCACTGGGCCACGTCTACCTGGGCGTTTGCTCGGTACCAGGGACGCGAGTCCTGGGAGGTGACGGCGGACGCTGGGCGGCTGTGCTCCTGTGCCACAAGACACAGGCTCATCCTGGTTTCACTGGCCCCAGCCAGGAGGCCGCAAGCCCCTTCCCAGAGCAGGGGCTGACACCTCGAGGAGGGAGCGTCGCCTTCCTAGGAGAACGGAGCATCGACTCTGAGAAGCACGTGACGTGCAACCACGAGGGGGCAGCGCTGTCCTGGTCGGGGAGGCTTAGCACGGGGACAGATTTGGGGAGACTTTCTGCCGTCTTTGCTGTTGTTTGCTTCAGGGCCACAGCTGGCGGTGCTCAGGCTGACTCCCGGCTCTGTGCTCAGGGATCACTCGTGGTGGTGCTCAGGGCTAACTCCTGGCTCTGTGCTCAGGGCCGACTCCCGACTGTGCTCAGGGCTGACTCCTGCCTCTGTGCTCAGGGCCCACTCTTGGTAGTGCTCAGGTCTCACTCCTGGCAGTGCTCAGGGCTGACTCCTGCCTCTGTGCTCAGGAATCACTCCTGGCTCAGTGCTCAGGTATCACTCTGGGGGACTCACCATAAGGTTGCTGGGGGTCAAACCTGGGCCAGCAAGTCCCTCTCTGCTGTCCTCACCCTCCAGCGCAGGGAACAGACTGTGAAGCGCGTCCCGCGTGGGGAGAGGAGGAAGAGGCGAGGCGGGCAGGGTGGAATCACCCCTGGGTGCACGGACCCCACGCACCCAGAGCTGGTAGGGGCGCAGAAAGGAGCGTGCGGGGATGTCTGGTGAAAGGCCCGTGGGTACTGATGGAGCCGAGACTGGGAGGAACACCCACTGGGTGCTGGCCACCACCTTGTCCCCTCCACACACTCCTCGACACCCCCCGGGAGCAAACACAACCACAGGGTGCAGTTCAGGGTGCGAGAGAAGCAGGTCCGGGGGCCAGGCACCTCCACCCCCACCTCCCCTCTCAGGAAACAAGAGACTTGAACTGGCTGGATTTCGCCCATGCTGGGGTGAAGGCCGATTCCCAGCAAGAAGGTGCCCGTCCTCGAGGCCACTTCACTTCTCTTTCTGGCCCCTGGGTGGTGGGGAGGATGACCAGGGTCCCAAGCCGTACCTGGACACTGATTTGGGGTCCCCCCAATAAAAGACCCCCATAAGAAAAGCCACTGGCCATTGCCAGGCTATTTGGTGAACCCTCCCATGCGTGGCTGGCCCAGCTCTCAGATTCTTTTTTTTTTTTTTTTTTTTTTTGCTTTTTGGGTCACACCCGGCGATGCTCAGGGCTGACTCTTGGCTCATGCACTCAGGAATTCCTCCTGGCAGTGCTCGGGGGACCCTATGGGATGCCGGGGATCGAACCCGGGTCGGCCACGTGCAAGGCAAACTCCCTCCCCGCTGTGCTATCGCTTCAGCCTCTCAGACTGTCTTCTTGCAAGAAAGAGGCTCTTCCTGCTTGAGATTAAAACCCACCCTCCCACCCCTGAACCTCTTCTCGGGTGGGCCCCGATGGCCCCCAGCCCTAGAACCCTGGAAGGCCCCGAGCGAGCATCACTGCACCCCTGCCCGTAGAGCTGGATCCCTGCGTGTCTGGGATGAGTGAGCAAGACGGCCGGGTCTGTGCTGTCTCTTCCCATCAGCCTTGTCTCCGCAAGGACATTTGCCAGACCCCGACGCCTCGGCCCCCCAAGCTGCTCCCAGACACTCTCTGGACAGGTGTTTGCATTTGTTGGAAAACAAGAGCCTGGCTGGGGAAGTCGGGCTGTCGTCCAACATGCAACCGGGTCAGTGGAGCTGTTTGCTCCCCGGCAGAGACCCGGGGCTGTCACTGGAACATGAAGGGGGACACGCAGTGGGATTCGAGGTGGAGGGTCCAAGGTGGCTAAGAAGGAAGGGGTGGTAGCTGGAGCCTGGGGGAGGGGATGCGGTACATAGAGCCAACAGTGAGGGGGGGTTCTCATTCTTGGTCATAGCAAAGTGCCCAAGAGGACAGGCAGCTGATGTTTATCTGGCAGGTGGGGATCTGGAGAAAGGGGCTTCCCGGATGGTGGGGAGAAGAAATAGGGGGTTCGACTTAAGAAGGGCTTGCCTGGGGCTGATTAAATGATCCCCCTTCGCCCTCCCATGCAGTGCTTTGCAGCCTCGGATGCAGTGCTTTGCAGCTTCCGATGCAGTGCTTTGCAGCTTCCGATGCAGTGCTTTGCAGCTTCCGATGCAGTGCTTTGCAGCTTCCGATGCAGTACTTTGCAGCTTTATCCCCACCACCCCCCACCCCCAAGCCTGCATCTCTCCTGGGCCATCAGCAGGATTCTGTTTTGCCTCATGTTGACTTTGCAGACTTCTGTTTAACACAAGTCAAGTGAAGTCACGATCATAAACGCCTGGACGGTGCCAGGAAAGCCGAGCTCCCGGGCGCGTGCAGGGGGAAGAACGGTCCCCTCTGTGGACTCACACCGAGTCCCAGACGGAGAAGCCACCTCCCGGCATCAGAGGGTCCGGGGAGGTCCGGGGGTGGGGAGAGGAGGAGAGTGCCACTTCTATACACTCGGGCGCTGTGCAAAGGGACCACTGGGCACTGAGCGGTGGCGCCCCCCACCCCCACTGCTCCTGGTCACCCCTAACTTCCCTTCCAGACGACCAGCTCAACTCGGAGGACAAGAAGAAGAGGAAACAGCGGCGGAACAGAACCACCTTCAACAGCAGCCAACTTCAGGCTCTGGAGCGGGTCTTCGAGCGGACACACTACCCCGATGCCTTTGTGCGTGAGGACCTCGCCCGCCGGGTCAACCTCACGGAGGCCAGAGTGCAGGTAACCGGGGGCGCAGGGCAGGGGGGTCCCCTCTCTCCTCTTTTCCCTAGCCCAGAGGGCACACGCAACTCCCTCATCCCCATGGGCGGGGTTCCCCCTCATCAAGGTGCCCCATGGGACCCTCAGGGCCAGACCTAAGGACAAACTTTGCCCCCCTCACCCAGGTCAGTTCCAACCTCCCCCAACCTCAGGCGTGTGCAAACCAGCTAGAAACATTCAGGGCCTGTGGCTGGAAACTCCCGGGAAGAGGAGAGGAAGGTGGAACAGCCCCAAGATTGGCCCCAGAGCTGGGAGCTGGGAGTCAGGGTTCAGGGGGAGGGGGCGGTTAAAGGGGGTAAGACGGATGGTCAACCAGGAGAGATTGATGGGATCTGTCACTGCACCGTGGACAGAATGTCCCAAAACAAGGCTGCTGCAATCAGAAAAAAAAAAATTTGGCTATTGAACATTTTCTTTTCTTTTTTATTGAATCACCGTGAGATGCAGTTACAAAGCTTTCATGATTGAGTCCCAGTGATACGATGATCAAACACTCATCCCTCCACCAGTGCACATTCTCCACCACCAATGTTCCCAGTATCCCCCATCCCACCCCTCCCCCTGCCTCCAGGGCAGACAATTTCCCCCAGACTCTCTCTCTACTTGGGGCATCATGGTTTGCAATACAGACACTGAGAGGCCATCACAGTTGTTCCTTTGTCTACTTTCAGCACACACCTCCCAGCCCGAGCGATCCCTCCATCCATCACTGACTCAGTGACCCCTTCTCCATCCCAGCTGCCTTCTCCCCCAGCTCATGAGGCAGCTGCCAACCATGGAGCAATCCTCCTGGCCCTTGTCGCTACTGTCCTTGGGTGTCAGTCTCTTATTATATATTGTGTACCCCACAAATGAGCGCGGTCCTTCTATGTCTGTCCCTCTCCTCCTGACTCATTTCACTCAGCATGATACTCTCCATGACCATCCACTTAGAAGCAAATTTCATGACTTCATCTTTGCTAACAGCTGCAAACATAGTATAGGAAAAAAATTTTTTTAAAAAAATGACAGATCCACGAAGAACTATGAAACTATGCTCCATAGTTTCGTCTCATTGTGTCCCCCACCCGGGGGTGGAGCGCCTGAGACCCACCAGACAGGACGACCCTGGGGAAGCCAAGCAGGGTGCTCCTCCCATGACCCTTGGGAGCACGGAGAGCTGAGCCCCCCACCCACCATAGGAGCTGGGGCTTTATTTCTGCACATCCCAGAACCCGACAGCGGAACACACTCCGTCTACGGCCCCCCACCCAGGATCTGCCTTTCAATTCCTCCAGCCTCTGCTGGGAGGGCTGGGTGGGCAGGGGCGGGGACACTAGGCACCCCCAGCTCTAGATGACGTCATTAGGGTCCGGTGGGGGGGACACCCGGACTTGCTGAGTTCAGGCCCACCTTCCTTCCGGGGATGCCCTTCCTGTCCTATGGGCTTCCCTGCCCCCTTAAATGTCAATATCTTGAATCCTGGCTGCGGGCTCCACTTTAGGGGAGACGGGATTCTTCCCCGGAGCACCCAGAAAGTGTTGCTCTGGAGAAGAGCCCCTCCTGGAAGCCCCGGGTGGCCGCTGGGTGGGACCCGGGTCACGTTCCCGCTGCCTCCTGGGTAACTGTCCCCTGGACTGTGGTTACTTGGGGGAGATCTCCCCCACCTCCCACCCTCCATGCCTTTCTTTCAGGGCCACTGACCCTGGCCCTGCGTCATGGGTAGGCCTGTCATGGATATCCCGTCCCAGGGGTCACGGCCCAGGGCTACAGGAAGGATGGGAAGGATCCTCTTCTACTCCAGGCTCTCTGACTGACCCCTGGCCAGGGCCCCTGACACTGACCTGCGTCCTAACACAGGACTCCTGGAGGGCCTCCCCCCCCGTGCCCCCTACACACACATGCACACACACTCACACAGACACACACACATGCACACACACATGCATGAACACACACGTGCACACACACTCACACAGACGCACACACATGCGCACACACATACATAAACACACATGTGCACACACTCACACAGACACACACATGCGTACACATGCGTACACATGCGCACACACATGCATGGACACACACGTGCACACACACTCACACAGACACACAGACACACACACATGCGTACACATGCACACACATACATGAACACACACATGCACACACATACATGAACACACACATGCACACACACTCACACATTCACACAAACGCACACACATGCGCACACATGTGCACACGCACACACATGCACACATGCACGCACACACATATGCACACACTCACACATTCACACAGACACACATGCGCACACACATACATGAACACACACGTGCACACACACTCACACAGACACACAGACACACACATGCACACACATACCCACACACTCACACAGACACATGCACACACCCACGCACACACGCGCACACAGAACACACGCACACATGCACACAAACACATGCTCACACATATGCATACACATATGCACACACGCACACACACACAGATGCACACCACTCACACATGCAGACACACAAGCACACACACGTACACATACGCACTTGCACGCACGCACGCAGAGACAGAGACGCACATGCACACACACGTGCACACAAGCACACTCGCACAGACACACACAGGCGCGCACACACGCACACACACGCACAGACACCCGCGTGCTCTGCCCTCTCTTCCAGGTGTGGTTCCAGAACCGAAGGGCCAAGTTCCGCAGGAACGAGCGTGCCATGCTGGCCAATAAGAACGCTTCCCTCCTCAAGTCCTACTCGGGGGACGTGACGGCCGTGGAGCAGCCCATCGTGCCCCGCCCGGCCCCCAGGCCCACCGACTACCTGTCCTGGGGGACCGCCTCTCCGTACAGGTGAATGCCGGCCCGCCCCACCCCCTTGCTCCTTCCACCTCTCTGGCCGGCCGTCGCCCCCCCCGACGGCTGACCTTCCTTAGGGGGTAGCCTCTTCAGAGACACTGCGCCTTGCCGCCTCCCCGGCCCCCCGCGCTGGGCGGCCGCCGCCCACCCTCCTCTGGACTCAGGACCTCTTGGCCAAAGTTACAAGGATGGGGACGATTCGGAAAGGGAAGACGGCTACGCGGAGCCCACATCCCCCTGGCCGCCTTCCTGGAGCACTTCCGACGTGGGGGCCAGTGGGGACAGGCGCTAGCCAGGCCAGCTGCGGTCCCACTGGGCTTATTTTTTTTAATTTTATTTTTGCATTCTAAGGAAGGACGGGGGAGAGACAGAGGCAGAGAACAAACCCAGAATGAATCTGTCTGTTGCCCTTGCGGCCCTAGTTCCTTTGGAATCTGCAGGCAGGCGCGGGCCTCTTGGCTAAGCCTCCAGGCCTCAAGTTTTCCTGTTTTTTTTTGGTTGTTGTGGCTATGGTTACAATATTCAAAAGGGAACAAAAAAAGAAAAACAGAAGGAGAATATATGATTTCCACTATACTATTTAAAACGCTTGAGAGTGGTAGATGCCGAGGGACCTTGTGCCTGAGTAGAGCTCAGAGCCTTGGGCCTCTCCACACATTCCCGGGCAGCAAGAAGCGTTTGCAAACGTTTCTGAGCTGGGGTTTGGCCGAAGGCACACGGGCGAGGCTTAAAAACTGACGCGAACTGGTCAGCACCCAGCCTGACCCGTCCTGAGCCCTCCAACAGAAGCCAAAGACCCTCCACCGTCGGTTCTGTCTTGTTCCAAGTCAATCCCTTTCAGCGATCAAACTTCCCTTGAAAGCCCATCCTGAGAAATGAGCCTGAATTGCTTGTTTATTTTTTTTTTAATTTGGGGTACAGGAAATTGGGCGTTTTCCTGGCTCTCAGATATGGCATGCCTTGATTTCAAAAGCTGGGGCAGATCTTGGTGTCCCGGGGAAAATGCAGACATGCCCCCACCCCACCCCCCACCCCAACCCCCCACCCTAAGGCCTTCAGTGGTTTCAAATCCTTCATGAAATTAGCCACTTGTGAATATTTTCTCCAAAGAAATTGGAAGCCCAGGCACCAACCTTGAGCTTGCTGGTTCGGATTTGGATACACCAGTGTGCATCTTTTTCTCCGGTTGGGTCCGAGTTAGAAATTTTTCACAAGTCGTGTTAAGTTAAACAAGGCAGGTGGTTGACCCCGGGGCCTTCTTGATGACACACAGTAGAGGTGACAGCCTTCTGGAAATAAAACGGGGCTAGACGCAACTTGACCTCAGCCAAGGTTATGTTTCTGTACGGGCATCTAACTCAAGCAGCAAACATGCGATTTATATGTGCCTATTGGGGGAAATGTTCTATTTTAATTGAAAGGATTATGTAGAAACATTCGATACTTAAAAAAAAAAATTCATGATTCCACGATCCTGACGTTATACTTTGTTAACTTTTGCAATTAGTTCCGTATTTTCTATATAGTTTAGACTTAGAGGAGTCCATATTATTTTGTATTCTGCTCTTTTTCACTTAAAAGCATATAACCTAGTACTTTTTACCCGTTTCATGGTATCCCCTTTATATCTTTTCTCTGTTGGGTGCAGAGTTTGTAAAAAAAAAATAATAATAATAATAATTAAAACAGTTTCATAGCATCTGATTGTTCATATTCTGTACGAAGAATAAATTAATCTCCAGATATGAATAGAAAGAAAATGGTTCAATGCCGTAACTTAACAATAATAATGGTTTTATTTATTTATATATTTTTGGACCCAATGTTGACTGGAGTGTTTCTATTTTGAGTCATTTTGAAAATCGACCCCCCTCCCTCCCCAAAAATGCAGTTTCTGTTCCTTGGGTAACCCCCGCCCCCTCCTCCCAACCAACTCGGTCTAGAATTAAAATTGGTAATGACTGACATTTGGAAGGTCGCTAGGCGCTGCCACTCTGGGCCAGCGTTTATATATGGGAAAGAAGAAGAAAAACTACAGAGATGCATAAGACGGACACTCACGGTCTTGGGGGTCCCTTAGTGGTTGCTTCTGTGACCCCATTAGTGGGTGTCCTGGGAAACAGGTGTCCTGAGAAACAGGTATGGGGCCCACATCCTGCCTTGGGGGTCCCATGTCTGACCCCCACATCCACGCCCCATGGCCCCGATGAGTCACTACCTGAGTGGCCACTGGAGGTGGGGGGTGCTGGCCTCTCCTTGGGGGGTCCCCACAGAGCTGAGCCCTGCCGGGTAAAGACAGAAAGCGAAGAGAAGGGGGTGCTCACCCTGTAAGCTCTCCCTGGCCCCTCTCTAAGCAGGCATATACTATGGTCAGGGAATGGGGGATTACCAGTGGCCTGAACCCCTCTTCCACGGGGGGTGGGGCTTACCCTGGGTCCTGCCGACTCCAGTGGGCTTTAGAGTGAGACAAGAAACGCTATGAGAGCCACCACTATGAGCACCCCTGGGCCTCAGTGATTCCAGGAGCCTGGGGGACACGGCCGGCGGTCACCCCACCCGGCCCAAAAAGAGCAAAGCTAGACGGGGCATGCTCTTGGGCTGGAGTGGGGGCGGGAACCAGTGCGAGAGGCCCCACCCGCGTGGGATGTATTGGCGGGTCCCTGAGAGGCAGGTCCCAGGTGGGCCGGGACCCAGGCTACCAAGCTCCATCGTGCCCGGGACCGGTCCCAGCGCCCACCCCCACCCCTCCACCGTCCCCCGCCCTGTCTGTGGAACGCCCGTGGCTCATTTCTCCCTTTCACGCTTTCAAAAATAGATCCTCGTCCCTCCCAAGATGTTGTTTACACGAGGGGCTTCATAACGGATTCTAACAGAAGACACTGCCAAGGTAAACCGGCCCGAGGGGCAGGAGGAGTGGGTGGGGCCGGTGCGGGCAGGGTGTCAGCGGGGCCTCTGAGAGTGGTGGGGGCAGTGAGGGCCGGCGGTGGGGGGGCCCTCTGGACCCCCCCCTCCAAGTAGCTCTTGTCTTGGTTCTGGGGCAGCCTGTCTGCCGAGGTCGCGGAGTTGCTGCTTCTGGACCCCGTGGGCCATGACACCCAAAACGCTCTGCTCAGTAGCAGGGTGCAAGACCGTCAGGAAGACCCTCAATCACCCATCAGGGGGCTGGACGGAGAGCACAGTGGGGAGGGTGCTTGCCTTGAGCATGGCCCATCTGGACTTGGTCCCCGGCATGACCCGGCGGCTTCCCCAGACCCTCAGGGCATGGCCCGAACCCGAACCCTGTAACCCCCACACACACCCTCGTGGAGAGGAAAGTCACAAAGGGAGTGAGCAGAGAAGCCTTGCCGAGCTTGGCAAAGGCACCCCAGTGAAGCGAAGGGCCGGGGAGTGTCCCGTCTCATGGCGCCTCGAAAGAGCCGCTCCTGAACGCCCCCCAAGGCACAGAATGGACGGAGAGGGTGTTTGCCTTGCATGCGGCCGACCCAAGTTCAATTCCCAGCATCCCATAGGGTCCCCCGAGCACCGCCAGGAGTGATTCCTGAGTGCAGAGCCAGGAGGAACCCCTGAGCATCGCCGGGTGGGACCCCCTTCTAACCCCATCAGAAAAGGGGTCGCCTTCAAAGGCAGCGTCTCCGGGCAAAGCCTGAGCCCCTCTGGGTTCCCCACACTGACAAAAATACCACAGAATTGGCGCCCCCCTCTGTAACCCACAAGTGACAGAAACCTCAATTTCTCCAGACTCCAGGTGGGGTGCCAAGCTAGGGAAGTCCGGGGGGTGGCCTAACTGATTTGCCTCTGACAGAGGGACACTTCCAACAGCCTGTTGGAAATAGAGCCCGGAGTTCCCGCCCACCCCGCCTCCCCTCAGCTCTCCCCAATTCTGAGGTGATTTCTGGGACCCGCGCCACACCCGGGCGGTGAGAATGCAGAGAGGGGCGGCATCCGTGGGCCACCCCGGGGGACTGGCGGTCACTGCACCCATCAGGGTCAGGCTGCCCCCTGTGAAAGCTGAGTTCTCACCCCACCACCGTGGGTGTTCTGCTCTGGGTGGCCCAGCTCCGGTCCTCGGGAATCTGCAAGTGCTGAGAGAAAGGTTTTTCAGGCTCACTTAGACGTGGTGTCCTGGTGTGACTGTGTGAATGCGTGAGCGTTTCTTGTTCATCAGGAATTTCTTGGGGGCAGTGAGGTTTACTCCTGACTGCAGGTGCGAAGAACTTCGCTCTCTTAAAAAAAATAGAGGGGGAGGCTGGAGCAATAGCACAGCGGGGAGGGCGTTTGCCTTGCACGTGGCTGACCCGGGTTCGATTCCCAGCATCCCGAGCACGGCCAGGAGTAATTCCTGAGTGCAGAACCAGGAGGAACCCCTGTGCATCCCAGGGTGTGACCCAAAAAGCAAGAAAGAATGAAAAGAAAGGAAGGAAAGAAGAAAGAAAGAAAGAAAGAAAGGAAGGAAGGAAGGAAGGAAGGAAGGAAGGAAGGAAGGAAGGAGGCTGAAGTAATAGCACAATGGGTAGGGTGTTTGCCTTGCATGCGGCCAACCCGGGTTCGATTCCCAGCATCCCATAGGGTCCCCCGAGCACCGCCAGGAGTAATTCCTGAGTGCATGAGCCAGGAGTAGCCCCTGTGCATCGTCGGGTGTGACCCAAAACCCCAAAATGAATAAATAAATTAAATAAAAAAGTTAGAAAGAAGGAAGGAAGGAAGGAAGGAAGGAAGGAAGGAAGGAAGGAAGGAAGGAAGGAAGGAAGGAAGGAAGGGAAAACAGAGGGGCTGGTGAGCTAATACACCAGTAAGGCGCTCACTTGTCCAGCCTGCTTCCAACAGAGGGCTGGTCCCCAGCTCTGCTGAGCCCCGCCTGGAGTCATCGGTCAGAGCTGGAAGTGGCCCCTGAGCATGGCCATGGGTGGCCCCCAAAGGAAACACACAAGAATAGAGTAGGTGCCGTAGGTAAACCCTAAATCAATCCAGTCTCCAGCACATCCCTAGGTCCCGGA